ACTTTAGATACAGCGGGTAAATAAATAATGAACAAGCCACCATATAAATATATAAGAAAAAATAAATATAAATATATTTCTAGAGGCACTTTTGACATGACATTTCCACCAGATGTCGTAGCGATCCATACAATCGACACATACAAAGAAATCAAACCATAGAATTAAGTTACGTGTAATAAAGTGAAAACGCACAGGGAAAAAGTATTGAACATGTGAAGAAAGGGAGATGCAAAAAGGCATGGAAAGCTAAGATACAAGCCGAAATCTCTCAGTAATTACAAAGCAATCATGCCCTTTGTAAGTGCAAATTAATATCAGCTGGTTCAGTCCCAAATGATGGCCTAAAAATATGTGTCTCTGGTATCGCACAAGAAAATACGGAAGCCAAGAGAGGTCATACTCGCCTTTTTATTTTATGCAAGCGCTAATTTCTCCATACAGACACGTCTTTAAGCTTTAATGCCAACAAAGGCTTATGGACACAGTAATTAAAAGTAACTTAATTTCTGGAAATCTATGGTTTGATTTCTTTGTATGTGTGGATTGTATCTAATATTACGAGCATTATTAGAATAATTGTATAAACGTAAATGTATCTGTGTAGTGTTATCATGCATGAAGCTGTGTGCTATGTGCATGTTTTCACAGCCACCTTTTCTGAAGTATACTGTGATTTGTGGACTTGCTTTTGGGGAGGTTGTGGTTGATTTACGAGCAGCACTCAACCTGCTTAATTTTGGTGAACAGCTTCTACAGCTTAAACTTTGACTGAACCCTGAGATTTAGAGGACATGTTTGCTGAGACTGCAAGTCTGAGTTCCTTGTCTTGTTTCCCCCCTGTGTAGTCTCAGCTGGGACCACTGATTCCAATAAATAGCGATGGAGAATGCTGGGACTGCAGAGTGAGGTGGAGATTGTAAACTCCGCAGTCCCTTCCTACTCTCCTCTCGAGTAAAACTAAATTAATTGTCTCTGTGCCTTCTTTCTTTCCATGTATGTATGTATGATGTTTTAGGCGCTTAGACCTGACAGGCATCCAGTGAAAACATCATGTCAATAATACCTCTAGAAATATATCTACTGAGAAAAAGTGTGCCGTTTTTGATACTTGTTTTACCTACTGAATATTAAAGGAGTTTTATTATAACTCATTTTACAACACTTGGCATCAAGGCTCAATAAAGGCTCAATAAAACTGACCTATGTAACTAGAGAGGTCCGATATGTCGCTGAAAGAGTCATGTGACCTACAGCACGATTGTTCAGCAGTCATAGCTCCCATTACTGTTACTTCAAAGCTAATTAACCAAAAAGTTTTTGTTCCACAATACAACATATTTTCATATTTCATATATATTTTTGGTAATTCAGTTTAAGTTATGCAGTGTTGTTTTAAAGCAGCACTTTTGGGTTTAATGTGGTATTTGTTGAACATAAATCTTTAACTTTTACCTGGAGGAAAGCAGGAAGGTCCTGATCCTTTCTGGAAATGTTCAATTTTTTTCTCGAAGACCTGAGAACATAAAATCAGATAACATGCTCAACAGCACAAATTCTGCAAGTAGAAATGGAAGAAATAGAACAAGTTTTCTCACAGTAAATGTTATAATACTAATACCGTATTTTCCGCTCTATAAGGCGCACCT